CCATCAGAGTGCTGCAGCAATGATGAGAAATGCAGGTGTGAGGCACAATTTACATTTTTTAATAAGATGTGAGCTCCTGGTCATCCTTGTCAGTCGAAGGGTTTGGTCTTGTTCTGCCGTTGTGGAGACTCCTGTACTAAAGGGCAGGGAAATGGAGAAGTGACTTTAGTGTCATAAAAATAGGGCAGAAACACCCCTATAAGGGAAAGTTGTAGCTACCGTGCTGTGCTGCCCCACATCTGAGGTCTACGTCCATCTACTGCAGCCTTCCCCTAGGACTGCACGTCTGTGTGTGAGAGCTCAGCTCCTCCTGCCTCAGTTTCCCCAGCCTCCCTTCCCAATGCCAGCTCCTAGAGCCTAAACAAACCAGGAGGTGTTTCCCTGCTGAGGGAAAGCCTGTAAGTAATAAAAATAAATAAGGAAGCTGTTAATAAATGGCAGGAATGAACTAGTTCTTGATGTGGGAGTGGATCTCTTCCATAGTGTGGGTGTGATCAATAAGGCTCATAGCTATGAGCCTCAGTATTGAACCTCGGCGCTGTGATTTATTGGATATAAAATGTGCTTCCTTTTCATTTACTGCTAAGGTGGAAGAGCTATTGTTTAGCGCCGAGACCACACTTTCTAGGCATTCTTGATCTGCAGACGTGATGCACTGGCTCAGTTTTTCCAGTTAATGTTAAAGCCAGTCATTGCCCCTCTGCTGACTAGTCACAACTCCTACTCAGCAATTCATAGTCAACAGACAATAAAATTAATCAAAATTTTTTTAGTAACACTTGTTTTTCCTTGAGGCTGTGGAGTTGATGTGTGGTTCTTCAGGTTCTGTGTGTGTCCCAGGCAGGGGGGACTGCTGCTGGAGGCTGTGGGGATGCCTGGTCCTGAGACCTCCTGTTTGAGAGGCACTGATCCCTTTGCCATGGTGTCCCTTGAGCTGCTGAGGGAGAAAGGGTTCAGAAAACGACCAAATTTTTCATAAAATCATAGAATGGTTTGGGTTGGAAGGGATCTTAAAGATTATCTACTTCCACACCCCCCTGCCACGGGCAGGGACACTTCCCACTAGACCAGGTGGCTCAAAGCCCCATCCAGCCTGGCCTTGAACACCTCCAGGGATGGATCATCCACAACTTCTCTGGGCAACCTGTTCCAGTGCCTCACCACCCTCACAGTAAAAAATTTCTTTCTGATATCTAATCTAAATCTACCCTCTTCCAGTTTGAAGCCATCACCCCTCATCCTATCACCCGTTTTCACCTCTACAACCACCGCACGCGGGGCTGGTGTTGTCAAGTAAGAGGTGCAAAGTGGTGTGAGACTACAACCTGGTGAATGTTTTATGAATCCCGGACCCGCAATCTCACTGCTGTTCCCAGCAAGACTTTTACTGTGAAGCGTAACGAGGGAGTTTAAATTTTGGATTAACTTCACTCGTGCTAAGCTCTTCTTTAGATCATGCCTTAAACACCTGCCTTCAAAGTTCCTGGCACTCCGCCGTAAATCGGATGAAAAATAGTGTCTGCAAAACGCAGCCCAACTGTGATATCCCTCTCCAGGAGATGGCACTGTGAAACTAGTCTTTCAGCATCTTCACATCAGCTTCCAGGGACCAACTTCTCTCTGAATTAGAACCGATGAACAAAAAGAAGACAAAGGTAGAAGTAAGTGATCGCCCTGCCCCCGAGACACAACGGCATGGCATGAAATAACGGCCTTCTGGTGTTTTTTCATCTTGTAGAGATCAAGTATAAGGTGGGCTGAAAACTGTAAGACTTAGAAGCTGAAGGTTCACTGCACGGAAGGGAGAAAATGCAGAGTAGCTTCACTATGAACCCAGAAGCTGCCCCACATAGAGGAGATGTCTATGGCAGAGGAACAAGTAACAGGCTCTGCACTTGGCAATGGAGATGGCCCTAGGTGATGTCCCACAGGTCTCCTCTCTGTCACCGAGCTCCTGTCAGGCAGTGTCCCTGCTTCAGCTTGGTCAGGTCAGACACCTCTAACAGTCTCCAGTGTCAGCTGCACAGCCTTGTCCCTTCTTGCAGTGAGACTTGAGGGCAATATCCCAAAACAGGCAAATACCTCCCCAAAGTGGAGCTCCCCTGGGTATAAACCTGGCTGCTACCAAATAACTTCTGCACGGCAGGATGGTGTTTATCACAGATGGATTTCCAGAGCCTGAATTTTGCCATTTTTACCTATAGAAAGGTTGGCTCAGATCCTGCCATTTGCACTACCTGCAAGGTTAATGCCATTTTATTCATGTTTATGAACACTATGGTGCAAATAAGAACCTCATCTCAGCACCATGTCAAGCTGGTGGGATACTCTGAGTCCTTCCAGCACCTGCCTAAATTGGGGCCAGAAATGGACACACAAATGCACATGCATCTACAAATCCAATAGTGTTCCCCAGGGTATTTACCTTCCTAAGACGGGAGAAAAGAGAGAAATTAGGAGTGTTAATGCTGTAACGTTTGTGTGTGTGAACATGGTTGTGTCTCCTTGAGTAGGGGATCTTTTTACATCCCCACCTCTCCTCCAAAAACCTGAACCTGCTGAAGATGCCGGCCTGGGAAATGGGAGAGGTTTTATGTGTTGCTAATCTATTTCAGAGATCAGAAGCTGCCAATACCTATCTAACTGGCCGAATTTCCCTGGGTTGGACATGTTTCTCTTGCTCACCTATAGAAAACCTGGGGTGTGAACAGTCATGTCCTTTGGGGCTGATCACCTCAGGTGAGGTGGATGACTATCGTGACTTGGCCGCTCAGCTAAATCTCATCTTTTTTATCACTGCTATTTCCATAAAAATATTTTTGTTAAAAACCACCTCCAACAAAATTTCAAATGTGAAACTTCTCATCCCAACCTGAAATACAAGTTCAGGTGTCAGCATAAACATTTTTTTTGTTAAAAACCACCGCCAACAAAATTTCAAATGTGAAACTTCTAATCCCAACCTGAAATACAAGTTCAGGTGTCACGTAGCTACCACCAGATGTGGCACTAAACTGCACTGATAGCAGTGAAATTAATGGAGCCAAGTTGCTTTTGATCCATTGAAGGTCCACCCCTGAGAACACAGGGTCGCTGAGGCTACAAGTGGAGCCAACCTCAGTGTAGGTTTTTCACCAGGGATTAAATCCGTTGTGTATCTTGGGATACTATGTTGGGACAACTCATATTTCTCAAAGTGCTTTCTTTTTCCCAGTGATGCTCTAAAAGGGAGTGCTAAAATGAAATCTCTCAGCTATTACTGCTGTTTGTGTCCACTAAACCAATTTGTATTCTCAGCTATGAGCAAGACCCAAAGTCTTTGCTGCCAACAGGAGCCGTCACAGTCATCTTCAGATCAGACCAGATATAAATCTGCACCTTTTCATTCCTCTCTGACGGTCTTATTGTAGCAGCCACTCAGAAAAAATTCCAAATGGATTTTCCTCCTCAGACTTGATTATTTTTAGTGGTTTTTTTTTGTTTTTTTTTTTTAATCCACCTCTTTGGACTCCTTCCACAGAGCTAATTTAGAACACAAACTCTTTGGACAAGGATAATGCTTTCTTCTACATCTCTATGTCCAGGGCCAAATGCACTGTCAGTGCTTAAGACATACTCTCTAAATAAAAATAAAAGAGAGCAGGACAGAGAAAACCAGTGCCAAGAGGGAAGGAGAAGCTCCAGAGAGGTTCCTCCAAGAGGAACTGAAGCTCCTGCAAAGACCACTTAAGTCTGGACGGAAATAAAGCACAAAAGCATCTGGTGTTGACGGAAAGGAGATGGAGAAACATCTGAAATGCTGTGAGAACCACTGTGTCTTTGTCCCTAAGCGGGATGATGGTGGTGTCACCTGCCACCAGATTTAGATGGAAACACACTGCAGCGAGAGGTATCTCAGTCTAACCTAGTTTAGAGCAGGTCAAAAGGAACAGGAACAGAGACATCATCTTTTCAGAGCATCTTCCTTTCAAAAGCATGTTAGAAATCTGAAATGTCACCACCATGCTGAAAATGTCAACCACTTCCACGATCATCTGGAGAAATGGGACTTCAACACTTTCCTGGCATCTGTTGGGGTTTTGGTCTTATTTTGAAGTTCTGACAGTGTTCCCTTGCTGTTTTGAAATCCCGAAGCCTGAAAAATATGAACTGCTTGATTTGTATGTTTTACAGGAACTCTGCTGGAGCAGGAGGGGCTGAAGACATCTCTGTGACCTTTCGGAGATGGATTGTGAATGGCAAGAAAGTGGTTTGTGGTGAAGAAATGCATCATCTGCAATACTTGCTCTTTTCTCCAGTCTTCAGTATCTTCTCTGCAAATGTATCCCAGAAAAAAAATATAATAATAATCACACTTTTCTTCATCTCTGTTGAATTCCTCACTTGTCTTCTTGCACAAACCCGCTGTGGTGTGCTGACGTGTCCATGAGGGGCTGGTGGGAAAGAAAGGGCACGGGGAAAGTGGAAGAGAAAGGGGATGGGGAGGTTCAGTGGTGAATCCCCAGCAAGAACCGGTGCAAACGATGGTGGTGATTGGTGATTGCAACGGGACAGAGGAGTGTCACTGCAGTGTCGTGTCCCTGAGGCACTCACACGCTCCCCAAAGAAAGAATATTTGCAAAATCACCTGGAAACGTTAAACCTTGGCTCGGAAATGACTGGAAAAAAAAGCAAGTGGAGACAGGAGATCACATCTGAGCCTGTCGGGGTGAGAACAAAGTTGGCAGCCCAGGAGTGGGGCAGACAAGTGCCAGTGTTTGGGGTGAATTTCACGGGTGGAAAGGACAAAGCCCAGGATGGGTCACTGCCCCCCAGCAACGATGCCCCTTCCCTCCCTCCCTCCACTCTCCTCCAGACCTGTTGAATATGTGCCTGCCGTGCCAGCCCCCATCCTTGAGGATGCTCCAACAGCATCCATACGCATCCTCAGCCCTCTCAGGGATGCAGCCCCTTGCCTGCCTGCGAAGAGAAGGGTTTTTGGGCTCCAAAAATCCCCAGCGAGGAGCATCACGCAGCCCCTGCGAGAGAGGGAGTGAAATTCCTGCTAAAATACACCCCCAGCCCCGCCGCTGAGCAGAGCCGGGTAAGGGAAAGCTGAAAGGGAAAGTCGGCCGGGTACCACGGGTCGGAGCATCCCGAATAACCCCGGGTGCGGGGGGAGGAAGGGGGGGGTTAATCCCCGATCCCGCCCCTGGGGTTGTTTCTGGCATTCCCGGGAGCAGGAACAGTCGGGGGAGGGCAGGGATGCCTGGCCAGTCTTTCCAGCCCTGCATCGGGGCTGGTTTTGTCGAAAGGAAAAAAAAAAAAAAAAAAAAATGTGAAGGATGCTGGTGATTGCAACGGGACAGAGGAGAGCTGGGGCCAGGGGTGGGAAATCAGTGTCACTGCGGTGTCGTGTCCTTGCGGCACTCACACGCTCCCCAAAGAAAGGATATTTGCAAAATCACCTGGAAACGTTAAACCTTGGCTCAGAAATGGCTGGAAAAAAAAGCAAATGGAGGCAGG